ATACGACCTGAATCTTTTTACTGAAAGTTAATATAAATAACATTTTATCACATTTTTAATGATCAAATTGATGTTAAAATTCGAAGGGTTTAATCTATGAGTGTAACTAGGACAAACTGACTCATGAACAAGCTCGATAGATGGCTCTTGAGAAAAGCTCGATGAGCTAACAAGCTAATAATGAGTAAGCCCTGACTCAACCAGTTAAGAAAAGCTAGATGACCTAACAAGCTAAGCATGACAAGCCCTGACTTAACCAGCTAGCTCGTGAGCCAAATCTTTTAAAGACTATTAATAAAAATAGACTAAGAATACTACTTGAGTTCAAATATTTTAACAGCCGCTATGTTATAAAAGATCTTTAGTAAAAATTTATATAACTTTGCAAACATGCGAAACATGAAGGGGGTAAATGCATAAAACATGGATAAGAAAGAGCAAGATACCTGTCCCGATCCCACTCGAACTGGTACAAGAACTGCGCGTAATTGGACAAGATGAGCGAATTCGGCTGCTTCTCGCGAACAATCAACGACTCGTAATATGATCGACGCCGGCTGTGATTCAGCTGCCGGGAACAGGACTCTACCCTTTCTGAATCATCAAGAATTCCTATATCCCCCCAGCTCCAATACTCACCAATCTCCAAAGTGTCCCCAACGACGCCAGCTGCCACAGCTCCGCTGGAAGCCACCTCCAACGATAGGGTCGCCGTCCCCATCTCAAAATCAAACGCCGAAGAGACCGTCTCTACAACGGACTCCTCCACCGATAGCGCGACGAAGCCGGCCGTCAGACAAAGGATTGCTGAGAGTATATTGGGCGATGTGGAAAAGATTCGGAGGAAAATCCAAACCAACGGCTCCGTTGAATCCCAAAAAACCCTATCCTGATCAGCCTCTCCAGCAACATACACGGCTGATTTATGGAGCTCTTCGAGCAAACAGATAAAGGACCATACGGCGCCACTGATCGGGCAGAGAGCTGAAGGGTCCACCGGTCGCCGGCGTCTGGCGAGGCTCTTCTTCTGCAGCTGCACGAGGCGGAGGGAAATGGGGATGCGGCCATTGGGGGAGGAATTAAGGCGGTTGCAGACAAGCTCGAGGCCTCGATAAGAAGAAGCACGCGCCGCTGGTGAGGGAACTACCCAGGGCGGGTCCGGCGCTGCTATTGCGCGCACGGAACGGAAGAATCTCCGGCTGCACCCAACTGCGTCGTCGGAGGAAGGTTTTGCGGAGAAGGTTTTAGAGTCTGCGGGAAGTATAGAAGATGGGAGTAGGAGGTTAGACCCCATTTTTGATTAGAAGTCGGGACCTTCGGGCGACGGTTATACGTAATATTTTCTGGAGTTTCAGGAAGCTGGTGTATCGGTCTAGTGTGTTTAGTGAAGCCTAGGGCAAAAAGGGGACGTTAGTTTTTCTATATTTGTTTTAAGATAATTTAGATAAATGGGGTTGGTAAGGAATCTGATGGGCCGCTTGCCGCTCTGAATTTAAAAGCTTATCTTCGT